TTTTAATTATAGGTTTTTTCACCTGTATGTATCCTTAGATGTACTCTTAAGATGCATCATGCTGAAAATATTTTCTAACAAACTCTACTATTTTAAGTTTTTTCACCTGTATGTACCTTTGTATTTACTCTTAAGATGCATTATGCTCAACATATTTTCTTGCAAACTCTTCTATTTACAAAATTTTCAATTGTATGTATCCTTGTATGTACTCTTCAGCTGTTTAAGGCTGAAAATATTTTGCAAATTCTACAATTTTTGCAGTTTTTCCCCAGTATGTATCCTTTTATATATTCTTAAGATGCATAACGCAGAAACTATTTTCTTGCAAATTCTACAATTTTTACAATTTTTCAACTATATGTATCCATGTATGTACCCTTAATCTGCATAATGCTGAAAATATTTTCTTGCAAACACTTCTATTTAAAGGTTTTTCAATTGTATCTACCTTTGTATGTACTCTTAAGCTGCATAATGCTGAAAATATTTTCTTGCAAATTCTACAATTTTTACAGTTTTCCCCCAGTATATATCCTTGTATATATTCTTAAGCTGCATTATGCTGAACACATTTTCTTGCAAACTCTTCTATTTTAAGGATTTTCACCTGTATGTATCCTTGTATGGACTCTTAAGATGCATTTTGCTGAAAATATATACTTGCAATCTCCGCTATTATAGGTTTTTTCACCTGGATACATCCTTGTATGTACTCTTAAGATTCATAATGCTGAATATATTTCAAACTTTATTAAAATAGAAGTGGTTTGATTACAAATATCATGTTTACACATCCTTTCCCTAGTTTGCACCCTACCATGTGTGTTTAAATAATTGTCTGTTGAAAGCTTGCTCATATATTGCTTTGAAATTGTTTTTTTTCTGTAGGTGTCCTTGTATACAATTTTAAATTTTATGATGCATTGTGAAGCAGTTTTCTGTATCATCAAGTTATGTGTTACATAAAAGGACACTCCGAATAAATTTATTTCAGTGTGTTGTCTTTGACCAAGGTTTTAATTGAAAATTAATTTAGAAATACATTGTAGTAATGTGTCGTCTTGCATCTCCAACAAAGGAATTTCTTCGAAAGTTACCTAGAGAAAAAACAAGTGAATAGTTTGTGATAATAATAAATATTATGCATATACATATATTTATATATGATAAGCCTTAACCTTAGCTTGTTTTATTAGTTAATTTAATCTCGTACGATACAGAGTAATAATAATTATAAATTCATAGCACGAATGTATAATAATAATTAACAAACATCTGTCTTATCAATTGATAAAAATTTAAAACCTTGTGCTGTTGACGTTGTGGCGTGGTGGAACCGTTGTAGCTGGGTTAAATTTGATTTAGTGGAATCCGTGTTCAGGAGTGATGTATCGACTTGGAGATATTGATGTGCGGTCGAAGAAACTACTCAGCAACGATTTATGGACAATATTGGAATGTGTGCAATAACCATTCGCACCATTTTATTTTTATAACGACGTACCTTTGTTGAACGGCCATTGTTTTTCAGCCGTACAATTAAATTAATTTTCACACTTAGATGATGGGTTGTCGATGGTACATGAACGTTAGAACTCTTGTTACTTTGAATATTACTTGTTTGTCGCACAGCGATGACAATGGCGGCCGGATCCTGCAACTCTTGCCAGGACTACCTCTGCAATACTAAAGAATATCCTTTCTGCTATCCAGGATAATAGATATGTGCCATTCCTGTCATAATTCTCTTATCTTGTTGTAATATATATAAAACTATATATCTATTAATTTTTTAATTTTTATACTTCTTGATAAAAATTTTAAAAACATATGACCAGTTTTTAGCTCTTTACAAATTAGTAATTTGAAATTACAAATTTTGAATTTTTGAATTTTTTTGTTCAATTAATTTTAATAAAATCTAGTTTTTTCGTTGTAATTTAAAAATATTATTTATTTGTACCTACTTGAAACTTTTAGAGTTAGAAACCATATTACTAATAATTCATTATATTGTATACACGTAATGACATTTTCAAAGAAATTTTTTCTACAAAAATTAATTTAACCCACAATAGTACCAATTTATATTATATAGTAAAATAAATTATTGTTATCACATTAATATTATGAAATAAACACTGTGTCATAATGTCACTGAATTCAAATTTGTCACATCTATTACTGTAACTCCCTATGTACAACAGAGCGTCACCTACTTACCCGTTTCTGTTTTTTAGTTTATTTCATTAAATTGTTATACAATTTTTTTTTATTACTCGTTTTTATAGACATTTAATAAACACAAATATTAATCATGAAAATAATATTCATATGAAATGCATTTGTTCGTGTGTTTGGGTGGAGTAACCACCAAGGACACAATTTAGTGTGCCTGTGTATTGTGAGAGTATGCGCTATACACTATACAAGGACGAGTTAGGTTTCAAACTGTGTGGGCATGGGCGTAACTTGGAAATATATTAGGGGGGGCAAATATATAATATATATATATATTATATATACCTACATATCAACTAGTCTATATAGTTAACCTTACATAATTTATTTGTAAATATATGTTAACATTACCTTTTGTTGTAGAATGTAGTTGTATATTAGTATAAGGTGATCAATATTACTAAGTAATGAAATAAATATACAAACTTAAATACATTAAAAACATTGAAATTTTTAATATTTTATAACTTCTAAACAAAATGCATCATAATTCTAAAAACTGCAAGTAGATATTATATACAATTAAGTATTAACTTTATGCTTAAAATAATAACAAATTTATATTAACTGTAGTCTTCTGCCTCTTAGGGTTGATTCTGCATTGAATTTATCAATAATTTTATCAAGATTTATTGGGTACAACTTTTCTATATTTAAAATAGCTATGTTAGTTAATCTCTCTTGACCAATAGTGTTTCTAGTGAATGTCTTGAGACGACGTAAAGACGAAAAAGAACGTTCACTAGAAGCAGAACTCATGGGAATCGATAAATATATTTTAAAAATTGTATACATATTTTCAAATGAACCCATTAAGTCCTTAGACAAGAAAAATTGTAAATGATTTTCAAAATCTTCAGGAATGTTACTTGATAAACACATTTTACCAAATAACTTTAACTCTGCTTTAAACTCATCTATTATAATACCGTATGTGTTACAAACTTCCAAGATATTTTGATCGGAGCAGTTTCTGTTGATCAAACAACTTTGAAGAGCATTAAGTGTTTTGATATTGTTTTCCTCAAATTTGGTTTTAATGTCACTGATTATAATATCCAGAACGGGAAAATATATATTAACTTTGAAGTAAGATGATATATTATTTATTGTTGTAACTTCACCACCTCCCAATCTAGAGGGAATTTTTCTTTTCCTAGGAATATCTGGCAATTGAATATTCTCATTGGTAGCAAACTGTTTAGTTTCGGTCCAAAAAAGATTAAAATTATCATCACTTCGAAGTGATTCTAGTTCCATTAAAGTAGCATTTGTTAAAATTCCAACAGTTGAATAATTGGCATTTTTTTTTTGAAAATGTACAGACAAACTATTAGTTAGTTGAAGAACTTGTTTCATTAATTTCAAACAAAAAACAAATTCAAAACCTTGAACACTTTTTATTAATGAATTTGCATCAGATCCATGAATGGAGTCAGTTTCATTTATGTGTTCTAAGGTAGAAATAATGGAATTAAAATTTGTTAAGACAGAACGAATAGATTCAATTCGACAACTCCATCTCGTTTCACTAAGTGATTTAAGAGTGCTACTTGACACATTCAAATTCAATTCTTTTTGAACTCTATCAAACACTGAGTTTCTTTTTGATGAGGCGCCTATAAATGTATAAATTGTATTTAATGTACCAAACATGTTTCTAATTGGAGCTACTTTACCACAAACATCAACTACACACAAATTAAGTATATGCGCATAACAATGCACATACAAAGCTAGTTTATTTTCATCTCGTATTCGTTTAGCTACTCCAGAATAAGAACCACGCATTGAGGCAGCTCCATCGTAGCATTGTCCTCTCATGTTTTCAATTTTTAAGTCCAAAGATAGCAAAGTACTTTTTAATAAATTTGAAAGGGTTTCACCATCCATTTTGTCAGTTTTATAAAAACCAATAAAATTTTCTATCACATTTAATCTTTTATCACAGTATCTGAGAACAATAGAAACTTGTTCATGTTTTTTTAAATCTTGAGTTTCGTCCATTATAACGCTGTACATACCAGCATTTTTTACATTATCAATTATCTGAGATAAAACATTTACACCCATAAAATTTATAAAATTATTTTGATATTCAGGGCTAACATAACGAAATGTTTTTTCTTTTCGTAAATAATATCTATCAATAATACAATTATCACCAGCTCTAAGTTTCATAAGTTCAAGGAAGTTTCCTTGATTGTCACTTTCTTCACTTTCATCATGCCAGCGTAACGCAATACCTTGTCTGGCACAGTAAAGAATTGTTTGTAAGACAGTTGATAGATATTGTCGGTTTTCTGCTACAACTTTTGTATGCTGAGAATCTAATTTGTCTACAATCGTACTATTACTGCGCAAACGTTTTATAAATTCATCAACTCTTACCGAAGATTCTAAATGCATGATACTTTTTTGGTGATTATTAAATTTTTCAATAGCTTTCTTCCAATTACTATAACCTTTGCATGTAAATGCATCGTCCATTTTACCAATTTTATAAAACGCTCTACAAAAGAAGAAAAAAGCAGAGTCTAGAGTTACACTATACTCAAGCCATTTGAATTGTGTAAACCATATTTCCCGAAATATTCTTCCATTACGTAATGGATACAATACATTTTTAGGTTGAAATGGACCTTCATTAAGTGTGAGAGAAATCTTTGCATTTTGATAACCTTTCACGGGGTCTCTCTGATCACCGTCTATTAAAATTAAACAATTTAAATTTAAAGCAACAATATAAATAAGTAATCACTGCTATATTATTATTTCAATAAACATGCATATAAATAAAACAACTAACAAATCTACTTTGTTTACAAACATAAAAAATAATTAAACATAAAATATAATGATGTATAAAATACTTACATTTAAATCTTAAAGTGTAGATGAAGAACATTAGATAGTAAGTACCTACTAAATACCAAGTTAATCATCTATTCATGTACTAAAATGTTTATAATATATTACTAAATACTAATTAGTAATTAGGTACTGAGTTATTAATTACTTCATGAATAAAATAATAACACAAATAGTGGCAAGTGGCAACTGTCAAAATGTTTTGGGTGTATTTCTTTTAGTGAGGACAAAAATAGTTCACTTATTTCTATACATAATACTATACATAATTTGAAATATTTTAAATACTATAAATTAAATGATATCACATTACCGATTACCACAATGAAACAAACAATGAACACAAACAGCCAACGCCCAACACAAAACAAAAAAGGCTAAATAATTTTTGTTCACATCAAAACATACCTAATGACTTATCAGTATTTAATTCAGTAGATACTATTAACTTTTGTTTGTGGTCTGGAGAAATTTTTTCTATATTATAACATTACAAAAAAAATACTTAAAATAATATTGATTCATTTTATTAAGCTGTTTATAATTCATAAAAGTCACTTCTGCAGTTTGGAATTTGGAATTGAATACTGCATCTGGTGGATTGTCTAAGTCAATTTTATCTAAAAGAATTAATATTTAATACATATAATTATTTTATAAGTTGTGTGTACGAGCAAAAATATTTAGATTTAAACAATTTAAATAACTTTTTGAAAAATAAGTTTACCTGAATTAGAATTTGGTTTTGATGGTAATGCTGAAAAATAATGTTTCAAAGACTTCACCTCATTCTTATTTTTCTTGTTCATGTTGTATTATTCTAAGTTTATATAAAATAAACTATAGTCCATAAACAGTAATATAATAATTTGTTCTCTTCGATATCTAGTTGAGCAAACAAATTAAGAGAACAGACAATGGACAACTAGATAATTAGTATGAAGTTTCAAAAATTCAAAATATATTATCTAGGCTCAGACAATATCATACAAGAGTATTATCAAAAAACTGTTGTTTGATAACACTGTGGTTGTACCTCTACCACATATTTCCCTTTGGAGGTAACACTGCTTGTGTTAACAGGCTATACCCACCACTCAACTACGGACCGGGTGTCCGCGGCTAAACGACACTTTACTACCTATATATTATATATAATTATTCATTATGCATTATTTAAGCATTCTAAGCATTATCTAACAAGATACCTAAGCTAAAATTGAATATTAAGATTTAAAAAAAAAACTGTATAGTAGTAGCTATAACCAGCTGTTTTGTACTTATTTTAAAACAAGGTATGTTAAATGTCAGAGGGGGCACTGCCCCTCCTAATTTATTCTAGGGGGGGCAATGGCCCCCCTTGCCCCCCCCCCAGTTTACGCCTATGTGTGTGGGTACTGTCTTACATCTCCTTGTCTACACAGGTATATGCGAAGATAGGTAAGCAAACATTTATTTTATAATATTTTAGGTTAGGGTTAGGCTAACCTAACATATTATTACATATTTATATAAGGCTTTTAGTTCAATTTTTTTACAGATTCAACATTTAAGTATACCTATACTCATTTTTTTCTTTCTTTCTTCTTTACCGTCTTAAATAGCTATACACCCATATACATTGTGATTTTTTAAGCATGCTCACCCCATTTTTTGCTTAAATTATGCATATATTCAAATTCTGATTTTTGGAATTTTTAAGTGTAGTTAAAAACGATATTTTCGTGTTCTTTGTTTTTCAAATGACAACCTATATGTTTTAAAGCAAAATGTGATTCTGATATTTTTTTCTGAAAATGTTGACGTATTGTAATTGAAATATGAATGAAAACCTTAGTTATTCTTCTTTACATACTTAGGAGTACGAATAATAAATGGATAATTATACTTAAAATGCTTTGGAAAAGCTCAATAATTTTAATTCGGTATTCAATATAAGATATTCGCCAATAGATACTACCTAACCGTATTATAATTATCGAGCTCGTATCTATTTTAAAAGCATTTCAGTATAATAGTCTCTAACAATATCCAAAAAAATATGAAAAAATATCGCAGCATTATTGTTTTGAAATATCGCCTCCGCCTTAAGTTAGGTTTCGATAGATTTCAATGGAATTCCTTTTACTATTTTGCTTTTCACCCCCACGCTCACCGCCTTTTGTGCCCTATTCGGGTAGTTTGTTTCTTTTAAAATCCGCCGATATGTGTTTTGTCATCTGATTTGGTCCGTGCGCTTCGAAATCGCGTACGTTCCCCACGCTGCCGTCGGAAGTAATTCTAGCTTTTTTTCGTTTTTTTTCCGTCTGTTTCTCCTCTTCGAAGCACCTCCCGTGCTCTTTTCCCGCTTCTCATATGTTTTTAAAAATCCGTGCATGTGCTGTTTTTCTTCCCATTCGCTTCTTACGTTTAGAAATTGCATTTACAGACCAAACCAAAGACATAAAGCAGGGCCTTATACTCAAGGCTGGGCATTAACGCGTTAATAAGTTAAAGTTAAGTTAAAAAGTTAAGTTAGTTTAACTTTTTAACTTAATAAGTTATTTTTTTTTATGTTTATTAACTTAATTAATAACTTTAGGAGCATTTAAATTAACTTTTAATTAACTTGAGTTAATTTTACATTTAAACAAGTTAAGTTAATTTTAATTTTAATTATTATGTAATGTGTTTTCAATTTTTTAATTCATGTAAAATTTAAATACCTATATTATGAAATTACGAATATTATCAATGCCTGTTATTTTGCCATCGTCGCCAGTTGGTGGTTATAACTTATAGCTACAGACATTCCTATGAATTATTATAAACTATTTTGGTAATATTATATTTGTTTTATACATTATTATTATTATATTATACTTATTATTAAGAATTAATATCTATATAGAAGATAACGCTAGACGGACTAGACTGTTATGTGGTAGTAGTGTAATACCCCGTTTATTTTTGTATAATTTATTATTAGTTCGACGTTTTCGTCGATTTCACCGAAATCTAGAATTCCCGCATGGGCGCCTAGTGACTAGTGGTGGTAAAACCATGTTTCTATATTCGATATCGATACCTACATATCTGCTACAACTACTAATACTGTCATTTCCAGGTTTTATTATAATATTAAAATTAGTCCGTGTCACGACTCACGATGAAAAAATGAAAAATATCTTTAATCGCGGTTCGTGTTCTTGTCTTATTGATAATCTAACAACCCATACAGGCCTACCGCTAATTATCGTGTATTAGTAATAACTACTAATAAGTATTCAGTATTCAGTAATCACTGAATGAGTATAAAAATAAATACGCTACTCAGTATTGTACTCGCCTATACTTCGACTTCGACTAAAATATAAAGACGCGGTTAGGTTAAACTAACGCGACCATATTCGAGTTTGTACAATCTGGTATCAGTCTACATTTTCCGTATAGTACTGTTAGCTTTTTGAACACATAAAATAATAATAGTTCTTTGGTGTAATAACATGAACAATTTTAGGTACGAATATTTTAATTTTTCCTATATGAAAACAAAAAAACTTTTTTTAACTTAACTTGAGTTAAAAAGTTAATATTACATTTTGGTTAACTCTTAACTTAGTTTAATTGATAGAACATTTTGAATTAACTTTTAACAATTAACTTGATATAGATTTTAATTAAACTTAACTTAACTGAGTTAAAAAATATCATTAACTTGCCCAGCCTTGCTTATACTTACTGTTTTTTTTTTATTGTCGCTTGATATAATTATATATTGTTTTTTCCTTATCTTGGTTAAATATTAAATGAAACACATAAATAATACGAGATACCTATATGAAACAGAACTGTCCTTCGACGGTGTTACAAACGTCAGTATGTGTAGCCCATATCGGTGGTTAAAGAGTAACCACATAAATTCTGCAACTATGTAACACAATAAAGGTATATAAATATATAACAGAACTCTTCATTGACGGTTTAGTCTATAGTGATACCTAATTAAACACAAATAATTCTGCAACTGTGGAATGTCCGAATGTGATAAAGGTAGGTACGGAATTGTTCGTCGACGGCCATATCAATATAATTTATTAAATAGATCACACAAATGTCAATGATGTAGGTACACAGCTATTTGCTATCGCATAAACTGCCCATTATAACGCACATATAACCAGGGCTCGAATTTGGAAAAAAATTTAGTTTTAAGTACGTTATTTAGTATAAAACCGTTAAACAATTTTTGTGTTAAACATTAATTAAAATTAAAACGTTATACATTTTTTCTGTTTATTGTTATTGGCAGTATAAACGTTATTATATTTTTGCGTTCATCGTTATTGGAAATTTAAATGTTGTTATTTTTACATTCAAATTTTTAACACCATTAAACATTAAAACATGATGTTGTACCTATTACATTTCCACAATTAAAATAATATTATAAACGATAATTTATAATTATTATTTTAAATATAAATTTTCAATATTACGTCTATTGTAGATGTTTAATATTAATTTAATTTAAACATAAAACCAGAAGTATAAACCAAATTCTACACATTACAACTGTTTGATCCACTAAATTCAAATTTTTAAGTACTGAGTGTAATTTTAAAAATGTCTTACTATACAAATGCATCTGCCGAAAGCTCTTCAAACGAAGATGTAAGTATATGTTTGTACAGTAGTGCAGTATAATATGTATGTATGTGTGTGTGTGTGTGTGTGTAATACAAATCATAATTTGATAATTATTATATTAATAGTATTGTAATTTTATTAAATAATAGCATGAAACTGAAAGTATATCTATCGCAAAACCTGCCAAAGTAAGCAGTAATAAAAGAAAAATGATTTAGAACCAAAAGCCAATATCAAAAAGACAAAGACCGCAGGAAAGGTAATAATTAATATTATATTATTTCTTCAATATTACACACACACACACACACA